TTTAGACAACTGGGAATATACCACTCATGTGTGACAGCATCGTGGTGCTCTCGAGGCAGCGTTTGGAGCTCAGCTCTCAGAGTGAAGCAGAGGACTGGGATCGCTCGTCCCAGTGCAATAGCTGAGGCTCTGAAAAGCTCAGCAGAAGCTCTGTCAGAATCACGGAACTGGGGGACACAAGTGCAATTCAGGATCTGTCCACGAGGAGAAGCCCTGTTACTAGAAAACACACGCCGTCAGAGGAAGAGGGGAAAGTAGACCGCTTCACACAAGGATGGGTTCTTAGCTTTTAATTGCTTTCGTTTTTCATCTATCTATCTCTGTATACCCTTACTGTAAGACCATACTGTTTTGGTTACTATAATTTTATAAGCCTTGAAATCAGGTAATTTCCAAATTTGTTCTTATTTTTCAAAATTGTTTTGCCCATTCCAGTTTCATTCCATTTCACATAGATTTTAGAACTGGCTTGTACATTTCTACAAAAAAAATAGGTACCTCATCCTAATCACTGAATATGTTATCTTGGTTGCTTTTGTCTGTTTTAGTGAAAATAAAAGTATCTGAGAATCAGTCTGAGACTGCCATAGCCTCAGAGTTATGGCTGGTGATTTATTCTGTAAAGGAAAGGCCATAACATCCAAAAAGAGTTGGGAAGATATCTCTTGAAATCAGAATATGGTTCCTGTTCTACCGTTGATCATTAAACGATCTTATAAGTTGCAGGGGAAAGGAATCAAGAAGTCCTAAAATATAGGTGATATTAGGTAAAATGTTTAAGCCGCTCTGTGGACCAGTGTAAATATTCTTTTCCAAACTCCAATTAATAGATTTTGTGCAGAGGAGATCAGCGCTATTCCTATAATACAATCTAATACAAGGTTCTGCTGAATCGAAAGGAATGTCCAGTCTTACTTAAGACCCTCAGTTTGCTGAGCTTTTGCAGAAATGTGGGTGGAGAGACAGACTTTCAATCTAGTTAGTTAGACAAAGGCAGAGGTAAATAACTCATCCTCTGAATAAGAGAGTTGTCCAACTCCACCTTTAAGTGGAATATTCCTCCTGAGGGGTCTGAAATATTGAGAATGCAAGCACCTTTGGATTGCTTATGTGGTGATACTAAAAGTGAAGTTAGGGTAGCTGTTGTGGATCTACTTGCCCAACAACTGTGAATGATGCTGAATGATTGGAAAATGGTTAGAATTTTTCAAAAAAAGGAAACAATAAAATAGAGCTTATAAAAACACCACGGGACAATTAAACTAGGTGGACTGTTCAGGTGGTTGATAAAAAATCACATGAAATATGAGGTGATTGAGTATCCAGAAGATTCTAATGAATCACTGCAAGAGATCAGATGGTCCGGCCCTCCCAACAACTCCTCAAACTGTAAGAGGACCATAATAAATTCACTCAATTCATCCTAGCCTGAAGAATTAAAATATTCACTGAGTACACAAAACAAGAATCTATAGCTCTGTCATAGCCAGTGTAGATTAAAACAGTGCAAGGTAAAGGGAAAAGTTATTATTCTGAATGACAGGTGATTCCAGGCACAGCCCCTAGAAGGGAACGGGAGGCCGTTTGAAGTGGTATGGGGAAAACGGCTTAAAGGTGGTGAGGAAACAGTATTGGGATTGCTGCTGTTCCGTGTACTGGTGCTCGATGCACTGTCATACATAAACCTGGCAATGAAAAGTGAAAGGGCCTATATAACTAAGTTAGGAGGATATGGTGATGCAATCGTAGAGGACTTGCAGGTGAAAACACGGCTGGAAGCAGGAATTGATGAGTGAAAGACATGTACGTTTTTGCCTCACTCCTACCAGAATGTGTTAAAGGAATAGATGTGATGACTGAATGAAGAATTCCTCCCTTACCCAAATAATTAAGAAGAAAGATGTGCAGATCCGCTCTTCATTCTATTTTAATTGGGCCTTCTGGGTGAGAATCTTAGAGTTGCATGTTAAAGGAATAGATGTGATGACTGAATGAAGAATTCCTCCCTTACCCAAATAATTAAGAAAAAAGATGTGCAGATCCGCTCTTCATTCTATTTTAATTGGGCCTTCTGGGTGAGAATCTTAGAGTTGCCTAAACTCACTCAAGTGTCTAATTTAAAATGGCATCGGAGACCCCAGGAATTTAGGTCTTATTTAAAGATCTGTTAGATGTAGGTGTATTTGTACACATAATTTTCTTGCTTAATAGTCCAGCATGTCCTTTGAGAAAAGCCAATTGGTCTTGGAGTCAAACCATGGATTAAAGAAATCTTAAGGTAGCAAATCTTAAGGTAGGTACATCAACTGTATCCAATACGATATTAACAACTCAAGATGTGCAACAAGTTAAGGAACACTTGTGCTTGCGATCAACTCAGCTAATAATTTCTTTTCCATTTCTACTTATGGAAAAAGTTGAAGCCAATTTGCATTTATGTAGGACAGACTCCAATATCAATTTACTGTGCTCCCACAGAATTTAATTCTCCTGCTTAATGCCACAGCTCAAATTTGGGGACATTCTACATAGTAACTGGCCTGTATGTTTAAAAAATATCAATGTCATGAGATCCAAAAGAAAAAAATTCCAAAACTTTCATATTAAAGGATACTAAATAGACATGACAACTGAATGTAGCACATTCCCTTAAATCTTCTTTTACTGTGAAGGACATACTTGAGACAATTGGTAAAATCTGAATAAGGCTTATGGACTAGATAATAGTATTATAGCAAGCTTAATTTCTGGAATTGGGTAATGCTACTGTAGTTATGTAAGAAAATTATTTGAAGAATTTTAGAGGTAAAGAGACATCATGTCTATAACCTACTTTACACTACTAATTTCAAAAGATTATACAAATTCAAGGAAGAGGAGATGGAGAGAATATAGCAAAATACTAACATTGGTAGAGGTTTTTGGGAACTCTTACACTATTCCCGCAACTTTTCTGTAATTCTTAAATTATGTAAAACAAAAACAAAGTTGAAAGCAAGTCAGAGAGAATTCGTTCTCAGGATATCTTCACTGAAAGAAATACTAATAACATTAACAAATATAAAACACCTAGGAGAAAACACAGTGAATATGTGTAAAGTCTCTGAGAGAAATTAATGACCTAAATGAATTGAGGGATATGCCACGTCAATGGATTGAGAGGCTCAGTACTGCCATTCAGTTATCTCCAAATCCATATGTTGATGAAATCCAGTCTCAACAAAAATACAACTAAGCTTTTTTTTAAATATGAAAATACATAAGACCAAGAATGATCAACACACTTGGCAAGAAAAGCAACAAAGTTAGAGGAGTTACTTTAAAGTCATTCCTTTAAATTAAATTTATAAAGACTTACTTTAAAGTTACAAAAATTAAGGAAGTATGGTGTTGGTGCAAGGATAGGCAAACAATACAATGGAACATAACATGTCTAGAAAAAAGACTCAGACATATACGCACCCTATTTATGACAAAGGTGGCACTGCAGTGGGGCAAAGAGTTTTTTCAGGAAAGGATTCTGAGTCGATTGGGTATCCAAATAGTAATATGAAAGTATACTCCTATCTCACGCCACAAACAGATATCAATCTCAGGGGGATTGTACGATTACATGAAAAAAAGAAAATGATTGAACTTCTGTAAGACACGCTTGGGGAATATTACAATCTTGGGGTAGACAAAGTTCTCTTAGAAAGGATATAAGGACACTAAGGGACAAGAAAAAGTTGATAGTTGTACTGCATTAAGAAGAAAAAACTGGCTCACCAAAGAACATCATACCATTAAGAGAGTGAAAATAAAAGGCCAAGGATTAAAAATACAATATAAGTACGACATATTTGCACCAAAGGTCATTATCATGGTAATGTGGGCATATAACTTGTAATAGTCACGATCCACAAACATCTCCACCAATTGAATGGATCAATACATGGTCACGTGGGTGTTCGAGGGAGTACTCTACAGCAGTAATAATGAGTGCAGTGCTGCTGTACGATCAGACGATGTATCCCGAACATAATGCCGAGTCAAAGAAGATAGACACAAAAGAGAACATACTACATGATTTTATATAAAGGTCAAAACCTGACAAAAATATTCTTTGGTAGTAGAAGTTAGAGTGGTTTTTTTTTGAGAGGAAAGAGGGCACAGTGATTTGTGGGATGTGTAGGTGACTTCTGGGTGCTGCTAACATCCTCTTTGTTAATCTCAGTTGGTGTACTTGACTGAGCTGAACACTTACTGTTTTTACATTGTTCTCTATTAATTGCAATTAAAAACTAATTTTTATTAAAAAAAAAAACCCTTTTGTTAACACTCCTTGACCTGACCTGAAAGATGAATGACCAATGACAACCACCATATTTCTCCACAGTACGTTTCACTTTTGAAGTCAGTTTTTCACTCTGATCTTAGGGCCATTTCACTCAGTGAGCATCCAGTGAGCATTCACTCACTGGTCAGCCTTTACCTCTCCCTTACCTGAGCAGACCACAGAGGCCGTGTGTCCACGGGTACAGTCTGGAATGCCCAGGGCAGTCACGGGGCAATTCCACAGGAAGGACTCAGCCCCTGAGCAGTCAAATCGGTCTTTCCAGATCTTAACACCTCTTTCCACAAAGTATGCTCCTTTTGGGGTAGAGATGGCAACTCCACAGCCAAGCTGATGACAAACAACTTTGGCATTGGCCATGTTCCAATGGGAGGCACAGAGCGTTCTCCAGTCTCCAGAAACATTCATCTCCACTTGTCCCTCACACTGAGCAACGCCATTTTTCATGAGCCGGACTTTTCTGTACTCTGATAGGAGAAAACAAGATTTCAGCAATGTCTCCTATTTTGGCAGTGATTCTCGTTGCAGAATGGAGTCAATTCTGCACGAGAACTCCTACTGCCCCAGCCTTGGTCACAGCCCCACCCCTGTGACATCATCTGGACACAATGCAGGGCATGAGGGTGACTCCCCAAAGGAAGAGATGCTCAGCAGAAATCGGATGGGTCTACTAAATTTATGAAATATGAAAATGAATTTAGCAGGAAATGTTTGGGATCTATGTGAACGCAAAAACAGCATTTCTCTGAAGGTTTTAAAATATCTTTCTTTTCCAATGAAAAAGTAAACTTTATTTTTTTCAGTTTTCTTTAACAGATGCACACATATAATAAAACACAGGTCACTATTCAAATTATTATTAATTCTATTTCATTTCCCCTGGGGAATAGTAAGTGTGTGAAAATTCCAATGAAATTTAAGGAATAGAAGGCTGCCATGAGGAAATAACATACAGACAGTGAGATATTAAAAATATTAAAAAGAACTATACTATGTTCTTATGTAACAACAGACTGCGAGTGGAATGAAGCAAAATATAGACTCAAAGACATATATATGTGTGCTTGTATGTGTATTTACATACACACATTGTATATAAATAGGAAATTTTAGTATTTAAAAAAGGTAATATTTTAAATCATTGGAAAATATATATCATTCAATAAATAGTGTTGTAAAACTTAGAGATAGGCTAAAAATAATGAAATCAGACCCCTATTTAATATTGCCTTTTAAAATTAATTTTACAGAGTTAAATATACACACATTAAAGTGAATCATAACACATGGAGAGAAAAAAATTGTATCTGTTCTTTCAAAAATATCAGAGTTGATTGTAAAGAAGACTCATTCTTGGGCTTTCCCATTAATAAGATTTTCATTATGTCATCTAACACAGCCCACATTTCCATATTAAAGAAAGTTGTTTACTTCTGTGATGTAACAGACACCCTTTTATTGGTCTATGATTTGGTAAGGACATTTTAATATCCACACAAGACTGGTATTGTTAGCGACTCCATTACTTTAGATAAAAATGATTAATCAGGCCCGGGCCAAGCAAGATATGATTCTTCTCTAGTGATGTAAGGGAATTGGGAGACTGGGGCTAAAAAGGGCTGAAGGTACCTGGTTGTGTGTTTGGCACATGTCCATAAAAGGCCTCTTTGGTGGCTACTCTTGGAGTGGCAGAAAGACAGGCAGTTCTGAGGCTAGGCCTGGGGGAGGGACGTCTGATTTCTTTCCATGCAAAGAAAGTGCTATACCCCTGTTGCTCTTTAACACAGGCCCACTCTCACTCTCATCTAGTTCTCTCTTAGTGTCTTGCTTCTCCAGTGTCCTAAACTTTCTGATGATGGACACTTTCAGGACTAGGACAGAGCTCATCAAGCTTGAGAAGCTGTAAATAATACTGAGGAGGTTTGAGAGCTGTGTCCCCATTTTATTCCAGAGAAAACAGACCCAGGGTGTGTAAGTGATTTGTTGAAGTTTACAGAGTTAAAGCATATGGTTAGCATCCAGACCTACCCTCTGTGTCCGTGTTCTATGGGTCTCAGTGAAAGCTCTGTTTAATTCGGACAGCTCCCAGGTGTCTGCACAACATTTCCTCTTCCTTTGAGCCCAGTGTTAAGAATACATCATGTCCCCTCTCCTTGTCCACATCTACTCATCTGATGCAGGTGGCCACTATCTTCTAGACTTAGTCTGTTTGCAAGAGAGACATCAACCTGAGTCACAGGAGGATCTCAGGGGTCCAAGCCTTTAGGAAACCACTGTTTCTGCTCCTGTGTCTGATCCTGGGAGATCCCCAATTTTCCACATTTCAGATTCTGCTTAGGGCTCCTTTGGCCAGAGGAAATGTCTCCTCTCACTATTAAAGCTTTAGTGCTCGATTTTATCCAGGGATGCATGAGAGCAAGGATGACCAGGTTGGTTTTCGTCTTTCCTATAGATCACATTTTTATTTCTTCCCCTATGACTAAGATTGCCTCCTCCATTCTGCCTGTAGCTGGGACTCATTTGCATACAACCAACTCTCAGGACCTCTGACCATAAGCCTCACCTGCTTCTGTATCCATCCGGCTCCTCATCCATCAGTCCAGGCACCTACTGCACCGTTTGGAGCCGAGCAGTGTGTTGCCTGAGCTTCTGGGAATGTCTCCACTGGATGTGGCATTTGGCCACTCAGAGACCCACAAATATCAAACTATCTTCCTTGAAGACCAAACTTTCCCTCTGCCCTCGGGCTGCCCGTTCACCCTTGACAGCCACACGTAATCGGCGTGATCTTCCCATCAAGGTGCAGCGAGGGGCAGGGAGAGCGGTCACTGGAGGCCCAGAAAGAGACAAAAATTGAGCCTCTGGTCAGGAAATGATGAAAATGGGAGAGGTGGAGGAGGCATCAGAGGAGGCGTACCTCAACTTTCTGCCAAGATCTGATATTCAGGTAGGAGAAAGGTATTTGAGAGCAGAAAGAGACAAAAATTGAGCCTCTGGTCAGGAAATGATGAAAATGGGAGAGGTGGAGGAGGCTTCAGAGGAGGCGTACCTCAACTTTCTGCCAAGATCTGATATTCAGGTAGGAGAAAGATATTTGAGAGTGATATTGAGAATCCATTTTCACATTGTTTTACTCAAAATACAAATATCTTTTCAAAATTTTCCACGTTATAGGAACTTTTGGTAGGTGCTGGAAATATATATCACAATAAAACAATGTTCTTATCTTTGTTGGGCTTTTCTCCAAGTGGTGAGATAAAGAAGTAAACAGTTTTAAGCCCTCTGAAAAGTTGATTAGAGACCTGGATAGTACAGTGAGAGGTAATCTGCCCGTTCAGAGGGCAATTTAATTTATATGAAACAGCCTCTTTAAGGCAAAATGAAAATGGCAGTCAGATATATCCACGTCTGGCCTTTTACTATATAGACACACTGTGTCTGAATCTGCAAAGGAGACTCGCAATTTGGCACAAATCCATAGCTTTGCTGCTGATTTGTTTAATGATATCCCCTGAGCCTGGTGCAGAACAGAGTCTCATGCTGTACATCCAGGAACACTCAACTCAACTCAACTTTCCACTCTCCCAGCCGGTAGACAGTACACTTTCCATACCTGAGCAGATGACCCCTGCGTCCTCCCCGTGATTGCAGTTGTGCTGTCCCCAGCCCCGGGAAGGGCAGTTCCACACGCGGGTCTCTTTTCCTGTGCAGCTCAGGTCGTCCAGCAAGATGGGCCCTGATCCTGCCCCAAAGTGAGCAGAGACGGTGGCATTGAGGGCCTCTCCACAGCCCAGCTGTCTGCACACCACGTGGGCATCACTCAAGTCCCAGCTGTCATCACAGACGGTGCCCCAAGAGCCCTGGTGAAAGATTTCCACTCTCCCGGCACAGTGCCTGCTCCCGTTCACCAGGCGAAGCTGTCTGCTCTCTGAGGAGAGAGAGAGTGGTGTCAAGGGGGGAGTTTATGCTGGGAATAACAAGAGTTACTGGTCCTGTGGGGCCTCTCAATTGAGCACTTGGCAGCACTCTGCTCTGACCGAGGAGCCTGCTGTGTCAGACAAGGGGTTCATTGTTGGGATGACAGCTGGGTCTGGTTTCCTGCAGAAACGACATTGATCATTGGATCAGAAGGGTTAGAGAACAGGAAATCAAATTAAACTGAAAATAATCTAGTGAGAAGTCTTAGAAACTGTTACATAGCTCCTATCAGTTAGCTTTCTGATTTGTAGAGTTCTGAATAGGGTCTGAAAAGGTACACTGGAAATGTCCAAATTTCTATCCTGAACAGTGGACAGTGTCTTTCCCTGAATGGGTTCAAAGAGTCACTGTTATGGCCTGGCAGCTGGACTTATTTCCTTTAAACCCCACACACACTTAAGTACCCTTGACCTGGGAGTTAGAAAGATTAGAACAAGACATGAAGTCTAGAACTGGGTCAGCTCATCAGAAGCCCCAGGGAGCAGCCAGGAACCCAGGACCAGTCAGAAGTGTTCCTCTTGGTGTCATTTGGAGCTGAAAAGTAAATGGACCGTGACACAGATCATGGTTTACCCCAGAATATTTTACTTATGATCCTCATCTTCAGACTACAGATCTGGATCCTTAATTTCAAAAAATGTGCTTCTTTTTGAGTAGATGGGGCAACCTCACATGAGAGATGAGGTCAGGTGACATTGACATTGGCTGGATGCCACTGGGAATCACATAATATTGCTTCCCCTCCCTCCCTTGTATAAATCTAATCCCTACTTGGACTTTACATCAGGAATCGCTATTATTCAGAATTTGGAGTTCTTTCTTCTCTGGGAGAAAAAAAATATGAATTTCTAACACCACCACAGAGTGGAGATGGGTTATATTCCTGCTCTGAAATCACTTGAACAGACAATTTAGACGGACACACTGTATTACAGTCATGCATCGCTTAACAAAAGGAATATGCTCTGAGAAAAGCATTGTGCGGTTTTGCTGTGTGCACACCTCACAGAGTGTACTTACATAAACCTAGACATATGGCCTAAAATATACATCTATGGTCTATAGTATAGCCTATTGCTTGAAGGCTACAAACCTGCACAGCATGTTACTGTACTGAATACTTCAAGCAATTGTGACACAATGGTAAGTATTTGTGTGCTAAACAACAAAGACACCCGGCCTGTCAATTGAAAGGCCCAAATGCCCATGCCATAGGAATAGAGGCAAATAAGAGGCAGACCGAGTAGACCAGCACTGCAACCCGGGCTTGCTCCAGCTCATTCCGGGTTGCATTTTTATATTTGGGTGATCGACATCACCTCCCCTGCCTGCCTAGCAGAGAAAATGAAATCCTTTCAGATGTTTAGAAAAAATATCTACAGTATGTTATTTTTCATATACAATTTCTAGCTTTTAATAAGAAATTTGGTGGTATGTAAAAAGATGGAATCATTTGACAAATTAACAAAGTGGAAAAAAAGAAGAGAAGGCAGAAATGGACACATGATAGAAAATGTTGGAGTTAGCAGATAAAGACTGTAACTGTGATCAATGCATTCAGGAAAAGAGAGGGAAAAAAACACAAAAAAAATTGAGAGAATTTTAAGTACACGAAAATGTCAAAGGAACCATTGCCAACAGACAATAAAAGTCCAAAAATAAAATTTTAATGAATAGTTTTAAATGAAGTTTAGATAGAACTGAAGACAGAATTAAGGACTTAGAGCTCAGGTGGATAGAAAATTTTTAAATTAAACACAACAGAGAAAAATATTGGTGAAAAAAAAAAAAAAACAGAGCATAGAAGATATTTGTAATATACCCCAAAGGTCTAACATGCAAAATTAAAGTCCTAGAGAGGAGAGAGAAGGAAGTGGTCAGGAGGACGAGGGGGAGCAGGAGGAGCAGGAGGAGGGGGCGGAGAGAGCAGCAGAAGCAATATTTGAGGAGAAAATAGATAAGAATTTTCTGAAATAGATAAACACATCAACTCACATATTTAAGAAGCTCGAGAACCCCAAGAAAGACATGAAAACTCCCACAACTAGTAAAGCTGCTGAAAATCAAAGGAAAAGAGGAAAATCTGAAATAATAACAAAAGTATTTAATACCAAAAAATAAGGCAAAAAAGAGGGAAAATGAACATAAAGCATGAGTCAATTAAAAGAAAATTATAGGTATTAGCCAAACAATATCAATAATTGCATTTAAAGTAAGTGGATTAGATACTCTAAGTAAAAACCAATCTAGATGAAACAACAAAATCTAAGTACACGGTGCTTGCAATATACTCACCTTATATATGAGGGTGAAAAAAGTTTAAAAGTAAAATGAGGGAAAAATCATTCATACTGTGTAAACACTGACCACAGGAACATGGTGTATGTAGCTCTATAAGTGTCTCAAAAAGCAGACTTTAAGGCAAGATACGCTCATTTAGTTCGAGGGATTTTTTGTGATTATAATGGAGTAAACCCTTAATAAAAACATTATAGATATCAAAACCCAAGAAAGGTGTCAAAATATAACTTCAAAACAAAGAACAACACTTGAAAGAATGAAAAAAGAAATGCATAAATCCACAATCGAAACAGAGGAACTTTAACATAACTCTTTCAACAACAGGTAGAACAAGCAGACAAAAACTAAGGAAGAATATGGTATGAGTAAAACAACATAATCAGCAAATTGAACTAAATAGCATGTTTAGAACACTGCACCCAATAATGAAAGAATTCACAATATTGTAAAAACACGTGGAACATTTTTCAAAATTTGCCATATAAAACAAAAACTTTCAGATAATTGAATTCAGAGTATTTCCTCTGACTACAGTAGAATTAAAGTAATAATTAATAAGAAAACACAGCTAGCAATTCCTAAATGTTGGGAAATTGAGCAACACTTTTAAAGAAATACCAAGATCAAGGAAGACATTTCAAAAAATTAGAAAATATTGTGAAATAATATAACAAAGATATGTAACTAAACTTCTTTTTGCCACTAAAGCAATGCCTAAGGGAAATTTATGACCTAAAATGAATAATTTAGAAAAGAAGACTGGAAGAGAAAAAATGTATGCTTTCCTTTAAGAAACTAGAAGATCAGCAAATAAAGCCTAAAGAACATAGAAAGTTGGAATAAATTAAGATAAGAAAAACTAATGAAATCTATTTCATTAAGCAAACATAAGGTAGGGAAAATTTAAAAAACCTTTAAAATGTTGTTCCTTGAAAATATTAATAAAATTGATAAGCACTGAGCAATACTAATCGAGAACACAGAGAAATTTACCAAGACCAGGAATGAAAGCATCGTTTATACATTTTTTGTTAACAGTGTTATTGAGAAATAATTTATACACTGGACAATTCACCCATTTAATTGTACAATTCAAAGGCTATTGGTATATTCACAAAGTTGTGCAACCATTACTAGGTAAAATTTAGAATATTTTCATTACTCCAAAAAGGAACCTCCACGCCTGTTAGCTATCTCTCTCACACCTCACATCCCATTCAACCCCAGGCAACCACTAATCTACTTTTTGTGTCTATACATTTCATATCAATGAAACCATAGAATATGAGGTCTTTTGTGTCTGTCTTCTTCATTTAGCATAATGTTTTTAAGATTCACCCATGTTGTAGCCTGTGTCAGTACCTCATTCTTTTTTTCTGGCCAAATAACATTCCATTGTATGGATGTACCACATTTTCTCCACTCATCAGCTGATGGTCATTGGGTTGTTTCTGCCTGTTGGCTACTATGAATAATGCTGCTGTGAATATTCATGTACAAATTTCATGTGAGCATATGTTTTCATTCCCCTCGTATGTATCTGAAGTGGAATTGTTGGGTTATATGGCACCTCTATGTTTAACATCTAATATTTTGAGAAACTGCCAGACTATTTTTCAAAGGAGATGCACCATGTTATATTTCTATCAGCAAAGTATGGGAGCTTTAATTTCCTCCACATGCTCACCCACATTTGTTATGATCTGCCTTTTTGAATCCATACATCTTAGTGGATGTGAAAGAAATCTCATTGCAATTTTGATTTGTATCTCTCTATGACAAATGAAGCTGAGTATTTTTGACAATTTTTAATTGGGTTACTTGTATTTTTCTTATTGAATTGTAGGAGTTCTTACATATTCTAGATACAAATTCTTTATCAAACATATAATTGGCAAGTATTTTCTCACATTTTGTGGATCGTTTTTTTACTTTCTTAAAAGTGTCAATTGAAGCCCAAAAGCTTTATATTTTAATGAGGTCCTATTTATCTATTTTTCCATTGGTTTCTTATGCTTTGGTGGCATATCTAAAAATGCTTTTCCAAACCCAAGCTCACAAATTTATTTGTATGTTTTCTTCTAAGTGTTTTATATTTTTAAAATCCTACTTTTTAAATCTTTGACCCAGTTTGATAACGTTTTTGGTGTGAGGCAGGGTCCAACTTTGTTATTTTGCATGTGTTCCAACACTATTTGTTGAAAAAACTATTCTTTTCCATTGAATTGTTTGACAACCTTGTTCAAAATCAATTCACCATATACGTGAGGGTTTATTTCAAAGCTCTCAATTTTATTACGTTGATAGATATGTCGACATTATGTCAGTATCACACTGTTTTGATTACTGAAATTTTGTAGTAAGTTCTGAAATTGAAAAGTATGACTCTTTCAACTTTGTTCTTTTTCAAATTGTTTTGGCTATTCTAGATCCCTTGCATTTCCATGTCAACTTTAGAATTAGCTGATCAATTTCTGCAAAGAATCCAGCTGGGGTTCTGATAAAGACTGCATTAAATCTGTACTTTTGGGACAAATTCTGATAGAAGACTTCCTAAAGATATTATGCATTTAATCTGTATTAAAGGGCAATTTGGGAGCTATAATGGAGACTCGTTAAATCAGGGCCCATAAGTGGTCAGAAAGGCTA